ACAAAAACACATAAATTAATTTAAATTATAAATATTCGATTCTTTAAATTATCTAAAAAAAACTTGGATGAAAGTATATATAAATAATATCATATTTTCAGTTTGTAGAGGGTTTTTGTGTTGTCTTGTTTCCTTATGCTTAAGACATTCTATTATATATGGTATTTAATAGTGTATTCAGTATTCAATTATATACTTATATGCATGACTTATGTTGGGGGGTTGGAAAATAATTAATAAAAATAATTTTATTTTATTTTAGTAGTGAGGAGTTTTCACATTATAAAAATTTAAAATGTTTGAATTAACACAACGGTGTTTTTTGTTTAACTTATTATATTACTTTACAAGAATAGCAAGAAGAAACTTTAAGCAACAATGCCAACAATATATGACTAATAAGTAATGWGTAACGCGTAAGAACTAAAAACGAAAATGTTTCTCAGTCGTATACAGTTCGGGGAAAACACATTACACCATTGACCGATAGATTATAATAATAAATATCAAATGTAATAAAATATAAAACAAAAATAGATAATAACATCATAGAATGATGTAATATTTTATTTTATTTGAAAGCATTTTGTTTATGATTAACCATGGTATGTCCAATGAGTCTTTCATATAAAAATAACACCCTCAAAAACATTATAATTTATAATTTTTATAGTAGGTGATTTTACTCAAACATCATAAAAACGATTTTAAGTGAGAGTGTTTTATCTATGTTACACGTGAGTCTGAGAAAGAAAACAAATATTACGCTGACACCAACTTCACCAACTGTACAGGAGGATGTTCTCTACTTCCCAACTTTTTATGATAGTTTTTTTTCTAACTACATCTAGATTATATTGGAGTTTTTCTATTTCTAATCCCTTAATAAAAAAAATACTTACTAGTTGAACTATAGATAATATTTTCTACCGGAAACCACCAACAAAAGAGAATATTAAAGCAATTTATCTGCAAATTTATATTATAAATTACTAATCAATTTAAAAATKTATAATATACTGTAGGTAATACGTAATAAGTAGGTACACTAAAAATAATTACGTAATTTTACAAAAATATAGTTCAAACAGTTATCTCTGATTAATACACTTAATTGATTTCGATTTCGAAGAATAAGTATATGGGTTAGATATAAATGGGAATAAAATTAAATAATAGGTATATTGAAATAGCTAAATAGCTTCCATAAAACGAAGTAGGTATCATTGGTTAAAAAAAAAAACAAATATTTRTATTATAGTTTATAATTTTTGATATAGTTAGTCTAAGAAATATCCAATAATTATGAGAAAAAAAAAGTRAAATTTACGAAAAACTGGCCATTTTAGAATACATTTTAGACGTATTTTAAGATAATATATACATTTTTTTTTTAAATTTAGGTATACTATATTTTAAAGATTTATTGCAATAAGTATTATGTTATGCTATAAATCTGTTTTATCGTTTTTTTGATGGTTTAAAGACTTAAAACTCAAAAGTTTATAAAAACAACAATGAATTTATTATGAGTATTAATTTCACTAATTACGATAATTTTATATTGTATGTTTATACATATTTTCCCTCATAACATTTTAATTGCATTTAAATATTGTTTAATATGTATTATCATAACAGACATCATCCAATTCATCACAACAGCAAACCTTCAATCCAAAATCTAGAATTAAGTTCTCTCKTKTAYGWTTCTTACTGTAAATATTTAATTTAAGCTATTCATATTTTGTAAGCCCAATGGCCTATGCTGCCGAGGGCTCTTTCCTAATTAAAATATGTATTATTTATTATCTTTGTAAATTTTTTATTTTTTTTATTATTACTCAATCTTATTAAAAAATTACAAAAAGTTTTTAAATTATAAAATATCTTGAAATGATAATTTTTATCCTGCAAAAATATTTAAGTTTATAATTATTGTAAAAAGTTTGCATAAAGCTAGTGRAGCAAAACAATATTAGTAAAAAGTGAAACCATYATTATTAAGCATTTATCTTTACAAATAAGTTCCACTTTGTGGAATCCACTTTAAACTTATACAGAATATATAATAATATTTTACTTATGAGTTATGGCTTAACCCTACTTGTCTTTCTCAACACTTAATTAAAACTGCAAATTGTAAAAATGTTAGTATGGTTAAGCTGAATATTATTTAATAATTTGAATTATAACGGTTCATTAATTTATTTTAACTTTTAAGAGACAGATATAAAAATATGGATATTACATAATATTTTGTATCATATATATATATATGMAAATATACATATGAATATGGCTGGGATTTCAGATATAAATTTCATTTTGTAACCTAGAATAAAGGGCAACTGTAAATTTTACCACTACAATGTTTTTACTTGTGAAAAATAAAACATGTAAATTCCACTGAAACAAATTTTTGACATTTTTTTCGTATGGTATTGGCGTATTGCAACTGAGTTAAGAACCACATGATATTATTTCTCCCTACCAACTTTTGCCCAGTATAAAATAGACGTAAAAACCATCGGTATAATTTCTTGAATAATTTTATTTTTAAATTTTAAATCATAACTAAATTGTATTATAATAATGATGAATAACACATATTTTTTTTCCCAAATTAAGAGTAAAATTAATTTAACAACGAATTAAATATTACAGACTATAATTTTTATAGCTTAAATATTTGATTATATTATTGTGTAGAACTGTATATTATGATATATATAATTATATCATAGTACTATAATATTTCTATTTATCATATTACTATACGTCTATGGTCTATACAGTAATACATTTGTTAAATTTTCATTCGTTCTCATAAAGTGTATAAACCACGATAATGCTTCATTTTCCCAACTGTACCTGTTAATAGTAGGTAGTTGGAAAATGTAGTATTAACTTTTCTGTTTTTTTACTATAGAGGTAGAGGAAAGGTGGGTAAAATGGGGACCATAAGGGAAAATAGCCTTCACCC